TGGGCTAAATCACTTTTATCTCCGTCCACAACAAACATCAGTCAATCTAAAAATATTTTCTGGCTTCAACGAACCTACAAATGGTTGATAAGCCGTAGAAAAAGAATCAATCAATGAAATACTGATTAGCTACACGGGTATATCTTTTAGATTTATTTACATTCTCGAGAATATAAACGTATAGAAACTACAGTGTCCACAAAGTGAGGGATCAGTCTATATATTGACTGTAATGTTGAATTGACCCCTCACTTTATATTCACTGATAATTTCTTGGTGGTTGATAAACTGTAGAAAAAGAATCAATCAATGAAATACTGATTAGCTACACAGGTATGTCTTAGATTTATTTACATTCTCGAGAATATAAACGTACAGAAACTATAGTGTACACAAAGTGAGGGATCAGTTTATATATTTATTTTGATATTCTAATTAGTTAGGAATCTACCTAGTCTCCTCCCAGCTATGAGTTAATTAGTAAGACATATCACTAAATCAAAAAAAAAAAAAAAAAATTAAAAATCTTACATTCTAAAAATATTTTACCAAGAATTCTAATAAAATAAATAAATGAAATAATACGAAAATACGGGTGATAATTTCAGTTTTCCTATTTGAAATTTCTTATAAATCTTAATTATCCAGTTAATGATTGAATAAGCGCATGGCGAGTTCTACGATAATTAAATATCCGCAGTAATTCCGTTAAATATTTGAGCTTAATAACTTCAACAAAATATTACATTAACAATCATACATATGAATACTGGTCGTAATTTTAAGTAGTAAGGGGGTACAAATGAAAATATTTGAAATAAATAGTGCTTTCCATTTCAGTGAAAAAGTCGTTAATCTTAGATTCTTTCATTTTCTCACTGAAACCAAGTAGCGTCTCTAATATGTCTTTTCCGTTTTTCCATGCGATTAAAACGGAATAGTTCATTATTTATGAGTTATTGGCAGGGCGTGACGGTAATAATAATAATAATAATAAAAACGGTGCCTCCTTGTTGATATGGCAGTCCCTGCTGACTGCAATGTATCTTTGAAGATATTCAAAAAGCTGTCAAAATACAAGGACTTTGAAATAGAAATCTCGAAAATGTGGCATATGGGAACATCAACAATCCCTGTTGTAGTTGGAGCACTAGGACTGGTTGGAAAAGATTGCAGTAGACTAATTGAAGGGATTCCTGGAAGTTCATGCCTCAAGGAGATACAAAAAATTGTTCTGACAAGTACAGCCCACACTTTACGAAGGGCTTTCTCTATGTAATTTTTTTTTTTTTTTTTTGTCAGTGGAAAGTGTTATGATGTCATCTCTAACCTTAGGTCCTTGGGCGGGACCCGGAAAGTAATGTGTAAACGCCAGAAATCAAAGAAAATAAAAATAATAATAAATTATGCATTTTCCTTTTTGGTTTAGGCTTGTTTACGGAAAGACTTGCACAAAAAAAGCAGATGATAAGCATTTAAAAATATTTCTTTAAATCTTGAAAATTTCTTAATAGAGCAGCGTCTGGTATAAGGCCTCAGTAGAGGAGCACGAGGAGTGGATCGAACGAGTTCGTCATGCGAATTGGCTTCCGAGATGCTAATCACCCTTCCATGTTAGGGCATTTACTACCGTTTTTTTTTTTTTTATTTATTTCACCGAAAGAAAAAAAAAATATCCATTACGGTTTTTCCAATAATGGAAAAAGCGTAATTCTGATTAAGATTTCGTTGACGCTTAATTAAAGAATGAAAAAGAAAAAAAAAAAAGAGATTAAAATAAATTCAGAATAAATATATAACATGCAATGAGTCATCACTTGATTCAATTTATTCTATCCACCCACCGCCTAGCGAGAGACCTAAACCATGTTAGGGGGCGCTAGTTTTCTCCTTGCGTTCCATCACTACAAAATCAAAGGCAAGAGATGAGAAGCTATGACTTTATTGGAATTTCTCATCGTCAGCCATTTCCCCAAGATTTCAGCATTCGTCATCTCGCAGCTACGCATCATTGAATCGTTCCGCTTCGTCCGCACAGCCTTACTAAGAAGGCATACAACTTTAATGACCAATAAAACGGCGCCGGTGCCAGCTAAAATACTAATGACCTTTGACACAGTGATCCGTTAAAGGTTAGGCTCATACATCCGCCCCGTTTTTTTTGCAATAGTTCTGCTCGGTTAGATACGAAACTTTGGATATGCTATTTTTTTTCAAAATGGCGAATACAAATAGAAAAAAGACGAATGCAAGAAGAGTCCGAATAGCAATAAATATAAATTGAGAGAAGGGAAAATAAAATTAAAAAAGCATTATAGCAAATGCCCAAGATATATATATATATATATATATATATATATATAATAAAAAGATATATAAAAATAAATTTTAAAAATTCTCCTTCCTCTCTCTAAACTCGACCATGTCTCTCACACTATTCCTCATCACCTTGTATGTCAAATTATATAAGCTTAATACTGCCCGTCAAAAGTGTAAATTTTAAATTCATTTTACCTTTTGAAAGTGAAGTCTGAAGATCCAGAGAAAAATAAAATTCTCTGGTGAAAAATTATTACAAATGGAGACGTAAAGTGGTCTGTTTTTCTTTAAATTATATCAGAAATGGAAAAAAAAAACGTTAAAGATACATTATTTCGGTTATAATTTATTTCGTGAATATTTTTATATTCATCTCTTCAGATCGAAATTTCTTAATAAATGGACACAATCCATCCGGAAAAATATACTAGATTAGCAGAAGAAGAAAGGGGGAGAGGAAGAAAGAAAAATAAAACATAAAAAATGGAGATGGGAGAGTCCTTGTGAAGGAAAAGGATATATTTTATTCCTCACCGGTAGCACGACTGAGTTTCATGCACAACGTAATCTTCAGGTGCTGAAGGATTGCGTTGAAACAACTATTCGTGCTAACGGTGGGGGATATAAATATATATATATATATATATATATATATATATATATATATATATATATATATATATATATATATATATATATATAGCTCTGTTATATTATAAATAACTCGAACCAGAGTTTATCAAGTCCAACACTCAATACGTGATATCTTATACAAAATAATAAAAAAGTTTTTATCTCAATATCACAAGAAAACCCTTTTCCTATATCTTTGTTTTTCAAAACTATATATATATATATATATATATATATATATATATATTCAAAACTGTTTATATATATATATATATATATTTCAAAACTGTTCTTTTCTTTATATATATATATATATTCAAAACTTTTCTTTTTTTATATATATATATATATATATATATATATATTCAAAACTGTTCTTTATATATATATATATATATAATGATACTTCAAACGTCACTGTTAGCCAATACCAGGTTTTGAAATAAATGCATCGTTTTTATTTTAAACAGTGCGCTGCATCGCGTCCATCGGCCTGTGCACGGAAGAAAAAAATGTGAAAATTGAAGATTGTGCTCTCTTGTCAGGATTCGAACCCGAATACTCCACCCGTAGGAGAAACCAATGGGGCGTCTATTTCAAAAAACGGGTATTGGTTTAAGGAATGGGTATTAAAAAGCGAGAATATAACAATTTTACTGCCCCCAAACCATTAAAGATCAAAATTGACGGGAAAACAAGAGGCCGGAAGAGAGTTATGCTTTAACAGACAATGGAAGATCTGACATCGAAATCCAGTGGCGTATTAAAGTAACAAAAGACGTCCCCGCAAAAAGCTAAAAGCGAATCTGAAGAAGCAAGAAAGCGGTACTTGAAGCAAAGAAAAGAGTGCTGAACTGCAATTGAATATCAGTCCTCCAAAATGACAGTGAATGTTGGACAATTCCCTCACTGAGGAAAAGGAAGCTTGAGCCAGTAGACATGTTCTTCTACAGAAGGAGATTGAGAATACCATGGTCGGAGCATGTGAGGGACGAGAAAGTTCTACCAAAAAGCACACGTCCTTAAAAAATCACAAAAAGAGTTTAAATTCCTTTAAATACATTAAGAGGAAAAAGATCTTGGAGAATTTGGCACTCACATGACACAATGAAAGCAAAACAGATATAGGAAAGAAGTGAGTCACCTACCTAACAACCTTGTGAGCATGAATGTTACATCAAGGAGTTAGATGGATAGTAAAAAAGACAACAAAAATTGTCAAGAAAAAAATAGAAAGTTGTGGGGAGCCACGATCGCTCATGACCTGAATGGAGACTATTGGGCACGAACAAGATGGTTTGGTTTGTTTTGCTTCACGGCATATCAGTCTTATTTCTGGTAATATTTTTTTCCAAAAATGTATTGCTGGTAATATTTTCCTCAAAACCTTCTGATCATAGGCCTTGCTATCGGATGTAGTTTATCGTCTTACTCAGAACGACACAAACAAAAACATTGTAAAACAATAACATCTTTAGAGATTTTATAAGTACACAGTGATTGCCTATTTAGTTAAAAGGTCTGTCACCCTTTGGCGATACGGGTAAACTTTCACCTGTAAAAGATACGAAAGAATACAATCGATTAAGAGAAAAATACCCTCTTGCAACATTTGAATCAAGGGTGCATGGACAGTTTAATTTATGACAGCATGAATGTCATAAAATAGAGACGGATTTGTAACTGGATTCAAGAAAATGCTGGTTGTGCTGGTGAAAACGTTTCTGTATCGGTGATTTGAGCCAATGACGGAAGGCCGCTTTGTCTAAAAGTGGGTATGTCTTGCCAAAAATACTTGAAGCCTTAGAGAACAACGTGGATTTTATGACGACACAGACTGCACCTATCAGTGGTGTATCAAAGTTCACGGCCTAGATGCTTGATTACTGGCAAGAAGCATATATAATTCATTAATAGCTCAATGCAGTCCATAATGTCTCATCTGTGAATATTGGTTTGAGTGGATTAATATGAGTTGAATACAATAGATCTACATCGATAATGACAGAGTAAGGACGATAAAACAGACAAAATTAGATGGAGAGATATCATCGACAAACCGAGGTAGAGAGATGAACAAAGGACAAAGATGACAGGAAGCGTGGAGGGGGAAGAGAGAGGGAGAGGGAGAGAGAGATGATTGAGATAAATGGAGAAAGGGAAAGAGAGACGGAAAAAGTAAAATTAAAGGAGGAATGGGCAGATTTAAAGAAAAGGATAAACGGAGATGAACAGAGATAGACACACAGAAAAGGAAGGAAAGAGCAGAGATAGCCAAAAATGGGAAGGAATAGACAAAGGTAGATAGAAAGGAAGGAACAGAAATGGAAAAGAAGGACACAGAAAAGTAGGAAGGAAAAAAACAGAGAGATAGATACAGATAGGAAAAAGGAAGGAAGGCTGGGACAGAGATAGATACAAATGATGGAATAGAGAGAGGTAGATAGAAAGGAAGCCACAGGGCAGAGGCAGATAGAAAGGAAGCCACAGGGCAGAGGCAGATAGAAAGGAAGCCACAGGGCAGAGGCAGATAGAAAGGAAGCCACAGGGCAGAGGCAGATAGAAAGGAAGCCACAGGGCAGAGGCAGATAGAAAGGAAGCCACAGGGCAGGGCAGAGAAAGGAAGCAGGGAGAGGCAGATAAAGGAAGCCACAGGGCAGAGGCAGATAGAAAGGAAAAGGAAGGCAGATAGGGCAGAGGCAGAGGCAGATAGAAAGGAAGCCACAGGGCAGAGGCAGATAGAAAGGAAGCCACAGGGCAGAGGCAGATAGAAAGGAAGCCACAGGGCAGAGGCAGATAGAAAGGAAGCCACAGGGCAGAGGCAGATAGAAAGGAAGCCACAGGGCAGAGGCAGATAGAAAGGAAGCCACAGGGCAGAGGTAGATAAATAGCTACATAGTACGAAACAGAAACGAAGGAATAGCAAAGATAAATAGAGATGAACATAGAATGAGACTGACAGACAAATAGTAGATACGAATAGATTCAATTATATAGAGAAAAGAAAAGCATTATTGTGATGGATGTGAATAGACGATGATATTTAAACATAAGTTTTCATAAAATATATATAGATGCATACCCAAATCAAAACAGACGAAGACTTATACAGATGGGCCCAAAATGTAGGAAAGCTTTGTGATAGAATGAATCTGATGAATCGGAGCAAAGAGTAATGTAAATATTTACAGAGATATCATTTATATCTATCCTTTTATATCGTTATTTCCCCCCCTCCCTCATTATATATATATATATATATATATATATATATATATATATATATATATGCGGTACTTATTGGAAAGCGCTGAATATCAGTGATAGAGCTAACATACTTAGTTTTACTGAAGTGAGTTTATAATCCTGGGTTTCACGCCCCGACGATCGCAAGGGCGTGAAACCCAGGGTCACAAAATCACATCAATACAATTAAGTGTATATATATATATATATATATACAAATATAGGATTGGTGTAAAACCCTTTATTCTGCATATACGGGGTGTAACAACATAATTGTCCAAATAGTGTTACACCATAATTATCCCTACCAGAAAATGCTTAATACAATAAAAAATAACACCCTTTATTCTGCATTCAACACCATCATTTGATAAGACGCCAGAAGTATTGAAAAAAAAATGTTTATTTTTGTAGTGATTTTGTAACATATTTGTGTTATAATTTTCAAATAACTAATTGCGTATATATATATATATTATATACACACGTATGTATGTGTGTGTTTGTTTAAAATGCTCAATATCAGGGATGACGCGTATGTAAATATAAAAGCCGACATTGATGTCAACACCCAGAGACGACAGTGGTTTGGTTTGGTTTATTTTGTTTTACGGCATATCAACCTCAATGTGTTGTTTAATGCCGACAACATTTTTAGGATAGATTCGTATGAATAGAATATGTATTCTTTGGTTTAGATTGGTTTAGTTTATTTTGTTTAACGGCATATCAACCTCAATGGGTTATTTACTTCTGTCAAAAAATTGTATGGCAGGTAATATTTTGTTTTGCCAAAAATCTGTTTCTGTTAATATATTTCCTTCAAAATTGTATTGCTGGTAATAATTATCTATTTACCCATAGCTGGGACCCTAACAGGTGCTATCATTCCGGGGCAGGGTGGACCTGGGAACACCAGCAATTAAGAGGTGGTTCCACGCTCCTCAAAATCTCCTGATCTATAGATACACATATATAAAAATTAAGTTAATTAAAAAAAAAGAAAAAAAAAGTCCTTGATAATAGGGAATAGAATAACCGAAAGCGTTAGGATATATAAAACATTTGTACATTTTTTTTTTAAACATTTTATGTCCAGAAAAGAAAATCATTTTACGAATGCAAAAAAAAAAAAAAAAAAACACTGAATAAAAAGCTTAAACGCAGTATATTGTATGTCGTCTCATGACACTTGTATGCACCAGAAATATTGCAAGAGACACTATTTTGTATCACAAAGTCTCACGCAATGAAGCGATACCCAGACCTCGGTGAAGATCGCGTGAAAGTTTTAGTAATGTCATTGGATATTTCTGTGAAATATTTTTACTCAGACCAAGGTGCTTTTTTTTCTGCTATCAGATTCCTTGTTCTTGGGGTGTGAAGCATTTTGTGTCATTTCAAGTTAAGGTACCTTTCTTATATCGTCTTTATTATTATTATTTTCTTTTCCTTGGGCGTAGTTCACTCGGTTCTGTGCGTGATTCGGAGTGGGAGAGATCGTTGGCTTATACCGGTTTTTGTAATTTCAGCAATTGTTATTAATTTCAGTGTTTAAGAAAAAAAAGGCAAGGATGTCAACTCGCATGCATCCACTAAAAATAACATTTATATTAATAAAAATACACACACACAATATATATATATATATATATATATATATATATATATATAAAAACAGTTTATAAAATGAATTGAATAGCAATGTTAATGTGATTAATGGCGAAATCACTTCGCTAACAGGACTTAATGACACATTAACTTCCTATCAAATCTTTGAATAATAAGATCGGTATATTCGAGTTGTTGTCAGATGGAAAACATGTCAAGTACTTTCGACAATATCAAATTTGTCATCTTCAGGGCGCAATTTCTCCATACATAGGCAAACACCAAGGCAAAATATGTGTAATACATTCATAATAAGATGGTTACTACATTATGCGAAGACACTCCAGCTTTATCAATAGTGCAAAAGAGAGCAGCTGAATTTAGGATGAGAAGGGAGAGTCTTGAAGCAACTGCCACCAACGAGTAAAACATTGATAGTGTTCACCATATGGTGATGGATGACAGGCGATTGACTATATTTCACTCTCCCTATTCTTCTGATTTGACTATCATCTGTTCCACAACATGAAAAATACCTTGGCTGTGAACCATTATCGTAGTGATGACGTTATATTTGCTGTTGATGACCTTTTTGACCAAGAGGATGAAAAGTTTTCTTTGAACGCTCAGATGACAGTTTACCTGGTAAGCAATAATGCAGTTATTAATAAGAAGAGTTGGAATTAATATATGCAAGATTTCACAGCTGTAGCATCACTCCTTCATAGTCAGCCACTGGACTTTTCAGTCCACCTCCGTATATAAGCAAACGCGGATCTTTATTTAGGAATATTCTTGTGAAGTTATTGCTTATCCTTATAATTTAAACCTCAACAAAGAGATCAAAATTTTCTCACAGAATACATTTTAGCCAAATGAATATAATTCAATTTTAACCAGACATTTCTTTGAAAACATTAACATGTTCATGAAACATTGAATAGCAATTATTAGAGCCAATGTGTTTTAAAACAATTTTTTTCTAAGCGGCAGGACAAAAATTTAACTGTAACAAAAAAGTGAGATTGTTTACAGAAATTATGAAGTGGTATTAGAAATATTTTCTTAGAAATGAGTATTGTTGCGGGTTGTAACTGAGTGAAAATGTATCAGAAGGTAAAATTATGTAAGGCAAAGTTTATGCGTGCTTATGCGTTATCCCACAATATGTAGATCAAATAAAGAATATAAGGACAATTTGTATTGCAAGAAATTACTAAAAACACAGTGGTTAGAGATCCAACAATAAAGAGATTTTTATATATACAATAGATATACATGCAAGGATAACAAAATGTTTGTTGTGTCAATTGCGACAAGGTTGTGAAGAATGTTCATGCAGAAATTTGGTCAATAAAAGTTACTGGTTTTGACTTGTTAGTGAAATTAAAATAATTTGGTTTTTGCAAGGAAAAATCTCAAATGTCTTCGTTCAAATATTAGTGTTTATGTGTGTGTTATTCTTAGTTAGAATTTAAGTTGTGAAAAGTTGTTTGCCTTTAACTGTTTGGCTAAATTGATGAATTGTACAATTACTGTTTGTGTAGTGAAAACATTCACTTTTTAAGTCAATTGTAATTTGATTACCACGCGGACAATGGTCGTTTGAGTGCTGTGTTGAGAATTTTGAAGTGATTTTGAGTCAGTGAATTGACACGCGTGAAGTTTGGTAGCATCTCACGAAACTTGATGACTGACTTGAATTGAGTCATGTGGTTGTTATATAGACTTTGGTGTCTAAAAATCGGCTCCAGGGAGCTTCGGCGGGAAAAAAGGATCTGTTTCGACTTTGCTACAGTTTCGTGTTTCTTAACCAATAGAAGATTGAATTTACTGAAACGAAGTGGTGATTGGTTAAGGTTTTTTTTTAGGGAAGAATACATCTCACCGAAAGGGGTGGAAGGCTAATATGGAAGATTCCGCAATATCACCTTTGGGAACAAAAGGATTAACGATTTATCGATGATGCAGTTATGAATCAATACATATCTACATTTCCTCTATCTTTTTTTTTTTTAATCAATTCACATTAAGCAAGGCGATAATACCACTAAGGCGTAAGGGGCAAAAGAGAATGAAAAAAATCTGACTATATTTATGAGATGAGGCATTGTAACTATTTAAACTATTTACATCGTTCTGACTGCTGCCCTCATCTGTATTGCCGGGACACATGGCCCAATGCATAAAAGCGTTGGTTGAAGTAGACCAAAAAAGTGACTTGACCCAAAGAATTGTGAGTTCAATACCTGGCCAGAACAGAGGGAACAAAAACTTAGAGAATTGAGTTACTAAAGGGAATTAACTGAAACTGAGATACCCAGAAAAGGCATGGCACGTGACAATGTTCAGGAAGAAGTGGATAAGCGATAAAATAAAAAAAAGATTAGCGAGTCTTAACGGATACGAGTTACCTCCCCTAAACATAGCAATCAGAATGAGAACAACTTATTTTGTGTCGTGGATTAAATAAAAGTCTATGTTCGAAATTCCGAAAAAGGTTACTAAGTACGAAAGCAGACATGGAGTGTACAGTAACAGAAACTTTGTGAATATATTAATCAAGATGAACATGTCGGTCGAAATAACAAAACAATGATGATGATTCTTTCATTTAAAAAGTTCCGATTTAAATCATCTTTTCTTTCCTTTTTAATCATTTTAAATTCAAGAGTTATTCTTTCAAAGTTCATCTAGATACACATTCGTTTCGGCGCATAATTTTAGAAAAGGACAAAAAGCATGTCGGGATTGAAAATAGACACATGCAAAAAATGCGCATGCGTCAATAATGTCGTCTGGTAAATATTGACGACTTTGCACAATGTCGATTTTCTCATCGGAATGGATTTATATTAAACTCACCGAGGGCGATTTTAAATGCTATGACTGAAGAAGTGTGTCCGTCACGGCTACAAAAATGACAAATTTAATGAAGAACCTCTCTCAGCCCAACCGCCAAGATAATCAATAAACAGAGAGAGAGAGAGAGAGAGAGAAAAAAAAAAAAAGGTGGAGGAAGGTTGGAAGAATAATATAGAGGGAAAGAAAATGAACTTGTCTACCTTTTTTTTTCTCTCGAGTTCTCGCTTCCATTTTAGGAACTAACGTGTGAACGCCTTAAGAAGGAAATTAATCTAAAAGGTAGACGATAGAAATTGCGTTGTTGGCAAATGGTGGACGGGACCGCGAAAATCATGATAGAGTGTTGATTTTTATTTTATTTTTATTTTTTTTTTTGAATGTTGATTTTTTTTTTTTTCACCTCGGGCTTCTTTCCCGCCCAGACATCAGTTTCAGCTCTCCCATGTGCAAAATAACAAGCCATTCTCATCTGTAAACTGCTAAAAGAAAATGGGCGGCTATAACTATTACTATTCACTTTTTTTTATGTAACCTGTAATCTACTTCTACATGCCGTGTCCCTTCAGGACCTGGGCGATCATGGCTCTCTACATCATCTTGTCTTTCGTAGTTCTCAGTAAATTTGTCTTTATGCTATCTCTCCCAATCCTTGTTCTGTCAACTATTTCCACAAGGTTGTTCTATATATCGTGTCCTTTCAGGACGTGGGCGATCATGGCTCTTCACAACCTCCTGTCTGTTGTAGCTCCCAGTAAGGCTTGTCTTTATATTACTTCTTCCAATCCATGTTCTGCCAAACATTTACGCAAGCTCATTCTTCGTCTATGTACCGTGTCGCTTCAGAACATTGGCGATCATGGCTCTCCACAACATCCTGTTCAACGTTTGACTCCTTACCATCCATCTTTGTCTCTACTCTGCCATCCATTCAAAAATCTCATCAGGCTAGTTGCTCGTAATTTCCCCTCTACCCTCCCACACTCAAAACATCATACAAGCAGTGCTGGATTTACATACGGGCTGCAGCTCAGGGGACCCAAGACTACAGCGGGGCCCCAAAGCCCTCTTGTCTTTGGCCCCCAGATAAAACTAAACTAAAATATAAGGAGATTTATTTATTTTCAAAATTAATGCGGTTCCTCCTGTGAATTAATTTGAAACAATTTACAGTATTTAGGTCCCTCTAACTGGAGTGGCTCTTTTAAGTTCTATGAAGCACTATACATCATCTAAAAATATATCTTCGGTGGGGATTGGGGTGGCGAACATACGTAATGAAGGGCCCCACAAATTCTCTTAGAGCGTGGGCCTCTTTCAGCATAAATCCGGCTTTGCCTACAAATATTAAATTCTACCATCCATCCTCCATTATTTGTTCCAAAATTTTATGTAGGTCTTTCCGATTTTAAAATATGTCTTCATGTGCCATTTTCTTTAGAATTTTCACGTAGTTCGCGTTTTCTGACCATTCTAATGCTACGAGATTAAAATGAAATTTATATCTAATAAATGTCTGTTTTACAATCCTTTATAGCCAATGGGGAGAATTATGTAGGCAAATAATGTTTTTTTAGGTGAAAAATTACTCTTTCGTTGAAAAACATGAAATTCTCAGCTTTTGAAGTGCGGTAAGGAAGCAACCATCATTGAATTAATGAAATGGAACGTAGAATAAAAACTAATCATTACACAAGAAATATAATTGTACCTTTATAAGCAGAAAAGATAATATCTTCTTTACATACTAATTTTATCAAAATAATCTTTAAAATAAGTGAGATTTCACCAGTTGGACTTTCACTATTTTCGACCAATATTATGCTGTATAAACTAGAAAGGTTTGGAATACATAATCTTATTGTTATCCCTATATTTGTTGTAGCGTCTGTGGAATTAAATAGGGAGGATTATTTTCAGTGTGCCTTTCGTGTCTGTGAGAGGAGGCCCAGGTATTTGAAAACACATTCTTAGCGGGTCATAAATGGAAGACGACCTAACGTAATGACATGAGATATGTGCCAAGTTATAACATTCTTGTTCTCTTTCAGAGGGACTGAAAACATTAACATGGTAGCTTCCAGCATGATAGAGAAAATGAAATGACCCTGACCGCCAGCTGTAGAAGCACGGAGTTGGCCACTGACAAGAAATTTGCTTGGTGAAAAGGAGGACCGACAAGTGGTTCAGCGTGGCCTCCGCGGCGATACAGACCAAGTTGATGTCGTCTTGAGCCATGCCCCGCTGGCCTACGTCTCCCAGCATGACGTCAGCATCGCTAGCGACACCAGACTAAACTCACTCGCAACATGAGTGGCGAACAAGAGAATTGTCAAGATACCATCACCAGACTGCATATGATCTTCGTGTTCTTATTAACTTTATATATATTTATTAGTCAATTCACCCTAAGTAAGGCCAAGACGCCACCAAGACGTAGTGGGGTACTTACTTGTACTTGATGCGGCATTCACCCTGGGCGGATTGAGCAGGCTTCTTCCTGTTGTGAGAAGAAGATTCTTGGGATAAATTACAGAAGTAGGGTACCCAGGCCTACTCGGATAACGTTCTTGCTTGCCGCGGGGTTCCCACAGACGCAGAGACAGGAACGACCAGAAGCCGCCGGTTACCGATGCAGACGCTCCTTGGATTTTCACCAGAGCCCTTGTTAGCCGGCGTGTGTGTCAGACCTGTCCGCCTTGGGTGGCCCTACCAGGAACGAAGTTCCGGACGGCATAGCTCTGACACTACCGTTTTACACCCCCCACCGACTGTGAGGTAAGGGTTGGACTTTGGGGGCTTACAGTACCAGGTGTTCCCAAGCGGTCCCCCATCTAAGTACTGACCTGGCTCTACGATGCTTAACTTCGGTGATCTAACGAGAACCGGTGTTTTCAGCGTGATTTGACCGCTTACGGCTTAGTGGGGTGGGGGGAGGCTACTGGAAGTGAAAGAGAAGGAAAAGACTGGGAAAATATACTGACTTAATTTCCTATCTTCTTTTTAACAGCTTTCAATGCAGAACTGACCTTCTCCGTGACCGTTTACTTACCAAACCTGAAGAATCCAATCTCTCCCGCTGTTTGACTGTTGTGTCGGAAACCTATCACCCCTCTTGAAGATGAACTTGTCTGCGAACAAAGACTTTAAATAGTGGCATGCCAGTTGACATGACGGAAGGCAGATAGACCGAGAAGTTCTTAGCTGACCTAGTTATTGACTACTCAGGCGATTTCTGTACCTTTTTACCAACCTATTAAAACCCTTTTTATTGTTACGTGTTATTTGGCGTTTGTCTCTACTAACCCCAAATCAACATAACATCGACCCTTACTCAGACGGGCGCTATGAAGACTGAAGGAAAAACAGTACTACAATTACAGGCAGTAATATAACAGGTTTTATTAGTAGCTATTGGACTGAAAATTGCTGAAAGGATAGAGTCGGATAGGAAACGAAATGCTTTCATAAGCCTTTAATTCCCAGGAAAGTATTCAAAGATTTGTCTGCTTTTGTATAGATGAATAGAATGAAAGACACAATACAAAGCAACGATACATTATAAGAAATTGGTACTATCTAGCAGATTAAATTTACCCAAGTCATAAGCCAAAGTAAGCCTTTTCGGTCATGTTCAGAATAGCTTTACACGTGAGTTACATATGTGAGATGAACCCAGGAACGGAAGTAGCCCCCAGACGATATATTTGTCTCGAACGCTTGAATAGTCGGGCTGAGAATATTGTACACACCGAAAGGATAAGAAAAAAATATCTTTAGCTCGGGATAGAGATTCCCGCGGATGTAGATAGCTACAAAATTGCAACCGCGGATAGCACGCGCTATTCTGAAATGGCACACACACACACACACAAAATGTAATTTTTCATTTTTAAAGCATCCGTTATAGTGGATGAATATATAGCGCCAAAAATATTTTTATGATTATTAAAAGAAGTACAACTAAATTAATCGTATGTACGTCTGAAAGAACTGAATGGATAAAAAAAAAAAAAAAAAAAAAAAAAAAAAAAAATTCGCTTTATGAGAGTCAAGATGGTTTAAATATTTGTTAAATCCAGTGCACTACTTAAAAATACTGGTCCACTCGCAAAAAATAAGAAAAATTGTTTCATGGATCAATTTAAGGAGATTGATATTCGTTAAACTTTCCTGAAGCCACAAAATTTGTCAGAATCGAAAAATATTAATTTTTATCGATTTAGAATTTTGATTCTGTTAATCGAAACAGTGTAAAATCGATTCAAGACTTTTTTTTTTAAGAGTTAATGAACATAGCTGTTATTTACAGCATCAAGTTTAAAACTGTTTAGCGGCATATCAACTTCTTGTGGGTTATTTAATTCCGAAATTTGATTTTCTTGGGAGCATCAGTAATTTCTTTGATAAAAATCTATTGCTGCTAATTTGTTTTCCTTACAGAAATGTACTGTAGCATTTTCTTTACAATGAAAATGTATTGCTGGTATTTTTACTATATTTTTTTAACATTTTTATAGTGTTTTGACTACATTTTTGAAAACTGATCATTGATATCTGCATATTTAAAATTTCTCTTTTTAATTTTCTGAATTAAAACTTTTTAAAACTTTAGCTGTGCATTATTTTGGAAGCACATGCACAAATAATGGGGAATAATTATTTATCTTAAAAGGAAATATTAATGGATATATACTTTTATTAATTCATGTAATTGCTTTTCTTACATGTATATAAACGTTTGCTCCATATTTATATGAAACCTTTTTATTAAGTGTCTTCACACGTAGAAAAATAAAGTGAAATAACTCGATTTTTCACTATAATGATATTATCAATAAGACTTTCTAAATCACAAAGGAAAAAATCCGATTCTAACAAAGAAAGGTTCTAAAAAGGATAATGTACAAAATTAATTTTAAATGCTTTGAAGGATTTTTTTAAATTTTTAAAAAATTAATTTTAATAATTTTCAAAACCGAGTCGACCGTAGTCGGTATCATCGAGAAAATGCGAACGATCTTTTCTCCATGTTTACATAGTTTTGAAGTCAGAGTTTTTCTTTTCATAGACCGGTTGCCATCTAAGGCTATAGAGCCCACTCTGTCCTATTATTTATCCATAGCATTGCGAAGAGTTGGATTTGTACATTTCACAAGGGTAATAACATGTAAATGAATGCAATGAACTCGACTGGAATTCGAACTCGGCTCCCCGATTCATCAAACCATGCC